TGGCAGCCAGAAAACTGACAGAGAATGTTTCAACTCATGGACACTTCCAGTGTTTTCATTCCATTAAGACTACAGGCCTATATTGCTGCCCACATTTAGGATGGTGGTTTCTATATCTGTTTTCATCAGTTATTGAATGAATACTTGCTGATGACAATTGAGTTAGGCACCAATTTTATCACAGGAGGCAGCCAGTTCAGGTTAATATCCACGATTTATGGGAGTCTTACTTGGTGTCCTCCTTGTGGATTTGTGGGAGTTTCCCTTGCATCAGTGTTTTACTAGACCCTCTAAAGCCCCCCTCACCAGCCATCTCCTTCAGTACTCTCCCCCTTCACCATTCCAGTTCAGTCCCTGAAGTTCTAATCCTAATCCACACCCACTCCAAAAAGGAGATTTCTTCTATTTTCCCTTTCCATGAAGACACAAGCATTCCCCCCGCTTGGACCCTTTTTATTACCTAGCTTATTTGGGTCTCTGGATTGTAGTGTGCTTATACTTTACTTAAGGATTGATATCCACTGTGAGTACATACCAGTTTTGTCTTTTGGGGTCTGGGATACCTCACTCAGGATGATTTTTTCCATCCATTTGCCTTCAAATTACCTAATGTCATTGGTTTTAGCTGCAAAGTATTAGTCCATTATGTAAATGCACAGAAGTTTATTTATCAATTCTTCATTTGGGGGGACATCTAGGTTGTTTCCAGGTTCTGTCATATTGATTTCCAAGGAGTTTGTGCAAGTTTGCACTCCCAACAGCAAATTAGGAACATTCTCCTTGCTCCATATCCTGTCCATAATAAGCTGTTATTCACTTGTGGTTCTCCCAGCTCTTTATCTCCCATCTCTATTATGTGCCTGTGACCATGCTCAAACGGGTGTGGTCAGTGCTACAGGTATGTAAGATCTCCCCCTGCAGTCACCCTTTTAGTCTGAAGATAAGATTTAGACTTAAAACAAAACTAAATTGTGTCAACATACAAAATGTCCCAAGCATATATCAAACATATATACATGATAAGAATAGTTATGCATCAAGCATCATTAATAGAAATAAGAGTTTACACAGTATGATGAATTACGATAAACAAATTATAAATAACTAGAAGATATAATAATCTATTTATGTCCCATCCTAAATATATCTATTCCATCTAACCCTAAACTTATCTGAAAGAGATGTCCCAGTCTAAACAACTCCTTCCAATCCCAATTCTAAACAATTTAAAGCTAACTGTAATAGGTGTATATTATCTGGTAACATCAACAGCAGGATAGGGGGCCTATTATTCTCAAAATTACTTCCTGCTGAAATGGAACAATGATAACCTCATGGGATATTGTAGGGAAAAATATATTAGTGAAGTGAAAGTCTCGAGTGAACTAGCTACAACATTTGTACCCAGTCTCTGTTTGGCAGGAGATTCTTGATTGAGGTTCTTGAATAAAGTTCTTATCTTTATTGAAGCTGTTGTCTGAGGCTCTGGTCATAGTGTAATAAGAAGGTACACTGTATTAGTTAATTTTTCTGGAGTTGACTAGAGTTATGTAGTCCTAAACCAGTTCAGATGCATCAATTGGGATCAGATGGAATCTATGAAGTAGGGCCCCATTTTCCTTCTGGATTGTTCAAAGATTGTGGCTAGGAAAGTCTTTGTTAGCTGTGGAAAAATAAAAAAATAATGTCAACAAACAAATTTAAACTTTATATGTATGCATACTAGGAAAGGCAACAATAAGGAAGATAGTAAACATGAGGGAAATTAGACTTTCAGAGAAAGAACCAAGTAAAGACGAATGACAGTCCCTAGATTTTTGTTCCCTTCTGTCTTACATCAATTGACTTCTTGATATAATACAGAAACTCTGAAAGTTTATTTTAACAACATGCTTGCATTTAGCTGCAGAGAGCCATATTCAACTCCAAAGCCAGTGTTGGTTTAAATGAATTGGGACCAAAAGAGTATTAGGAAGTAAGAGAAATAGATTTTATAATATAAGTTAAGGGAATTATACATTGATACCAAATACCAGATTTTCTTTTGTTTGGTGGTTCTTTTGGCTAGCCAGCCTCTCTTCTTTAGGTTTCTACATGATCAGTGTCTTCTTGGCCTTTGGAGATGCATTTTACTGTTAAGACAAGAAAAAACAACAACACTTCCCTTTGCTTTGTGATGTCTCTATACACCTTGTGGAATATGCCTTTGTGGATGAGCTGTCATCTTTCCTCCTCCCAAGGTTTCTCCTGTTCTCATCCAATCTTGTTCAATTTTGATGGAATCCAAAGTTTCTCTTCTCCTGTGGAAACAAAGGTGAAACCCCTACCCCAACATAACACATATCCTGGTTTCCAAACTGGGGTTATTACATCCTTGAAATACACCGGCTGATTTAGTTCAGAAGTTTTTTTATCTGTAGTTCAGTGTCTTTCTGCAGCTGTTTGTTCTTTCTCATTAGCATTAAGAAAATCACCTAATTATTTACACTAACTCCTAATTTGGGTCTGTTATCCTGTATAGAAGTTTGCCAAAATATACATTTTCTGTTTCTTTCAGTTATGATTCATTCATGCTCAGTAGTAAATCCATTATCCATAGTTATGTTATTCTTTACAAAAGGCAGTGAATTTTCTAATTGACCTAGGGGAGATTATGCACCACAGTGACTGGGAATGTTCAGACCACTTTTGACATGGGGGCCTTCAAGAGGCTCCTCAAGAAATTTCCCAATTTTAAAGGTTTACCTTGTCTGTCTGTGGTTGACCTACATTTGTTGGTCCACTGTCGGCCATTGCCACATCTCCTACATAATCCAGAAGGCTGAGTCCTTCTTTTTGAGTCATTCCTGGGAGGAGCATTATTTCTAGGAATTATTTGCCTACAATTTCTTCTTAGATGTCCTATTCTACCACAGTTAAAACATCTGGTACTTCAATGTCTATTTTAACCTCTGGAGATTCTCTTTCCTACCCAGGTTTCTATATCCTCATGGGTAAGGTATTTGGCATCTTGGTGCCTCTTCAAACTTTTAGAAATCATCCCTCCTACCCAAGTTTCTGTATCCTCACTGGTAAGGCATTTGCATCTTGGTGCCTCTTCAAATCTTTAGAAATTGCCTCTCCTACCGAAGTTTCTATTCTTGATCTTTATATTCAATGTTAGCTGTAAAGAGGATCCATTCCTCTAATGGTGCTGATCTGATTTTTAATGGCCAAAGTACTTCTTTGCATTGTGGATTTTCATTCTCATAAGTTAGAGATTCGATAAGTATTTGCCTTGAATCTGAATCAATTACATATAATTCTACTGCTCTGGACAATCTTTCTGAAAATTTAATGAATCTTTTCTAGTACCCTGTATCACTTAGGTATAGGGTTGTATTTTTTCTCCTAGTTCATGAACCTTATCCAAATCATTCAGAGTTGATATATGGAATAAATAGAAGATGTGTTCATCCTATGCATTCTGAGACTATGGGTCAAGAAAAGCACCCTCACCAAGAATCTGGAAGCTCGAGGGTTCAAGGGCTTTTTCCTCTTATCTTCATAAACTTTTCCATTGTGTTTGAGATGTATTTCCAGCATAATGAGGATCAATTGACTCCAGTTCTTTGGGCTCACCCAATTCATGCTTTCCCAAGAGTTCAGTAACTCTTTGACATAGGGAGAATGAATACCCTAATAAACCATAGCTTATTTGATTCTCTTCAGGTCCTTCATCTGCTTCTGTTCCTATTGATAAGCAACAAAGCCATTGCTGTTTTTTCAGTCACAGATACTGGGGGAGACCATAGGAGAGGACATACCAACCTTAGAAAGGTCTTCTGGGTGTCTGAGAGGTGTAGGTAAACCTCTTTCATGACCTGTTGCTATTATTTCTGTTTCTGATGTGTCAGATTGGAGTTTGTCTAAGACCTGTAACTTATTCAACATTGTTTCTATAAGTGCGTGAACTTCTTGGGTTAAAAAATTTCTAAGGACTTCAGAGAATCAGTCATTTTTTTGGATTTATCATTCATATGAGATTTCAAACATTTAATATTCTCATCCTTAGATATTATAGGAATGGTATGTAATTTGCCTTCTAGAATCAATGTTCTATCAGCTAGCTGGTAAGTATCCTCAGACACGGAACACATTTTTTTCTGCAACTTTTCCAATCTGAAGTTGTAGTCTTTGAGTTTTATTAACTGAGTCATCAGACATGAAGTGAGTTTTTTCTGCCAGTCTAGGAATGCCATCCTGAATTAATCCTATTTTGGTTATTAGGGCAGCAATCTTGAAACCAATCCTGTCTACTAGGTGGTCATTTCCCCATTGTCCTCAAGATTCTGAGTTCTTGTCTCTAATTTACCAGTAGCTTACAGGACTTTCCTGATTTCTGCACTATTATCAAGGCCTCTCTTCCAAGATATTATATGGATTATGAAGCTAATTATTAGCATTAGACAAAAACATATTAGGGGCATGTCATAATCTTCTCCCAAGATGCCATTCATATAAGAAGCAATGAGATCCCTAATGTTCTGTATCGTAAGATTATCTGCCATTGGTATAGAGTAGTTAAATTTTCCCCTCCCCTCGAGTAGTTAATCACTTAAACTACTAGAATACAAAGCTTTACCTTCAATGATTTTGAGCTGAGGTGTGGCTATTTACTTGCAGTAACTGGATTTGACCAGTAGGTGGCACAGGCGTACTGCCAAACACATTTCCATTGCGGGTGCTCTGTATTTTCCCGGTGGAATCTGAAAACATTCTAAGTAGCTTTTACAGAAATTTAATGATTTTGCCAAAAGGAAGAGAAAAGAGTCCGCACAGATTGGATGAACATTCCATTGCGGGTGCTCTGTATTTTCCCGGTGGAATCTGAAAAAATTCTAAGTAGCTTTTACAGAAATTTAATGATTTTGCCAAAAGGAAGAGAAAAGAGTCCGCACAGATTGAATGAACATTCCGGGAGAAAGGGGCAAAGTTCAGCAGACTGCTAGTAGAGGGTCATGTGGCTGTTCCAGAAACCTCAGTTTGGGATGCTGCCCCAGATGGGGAAGACCGTGAAACAAGCAGGAGCAAACACAGCAGCTGTGGTGGCTTTTGGGGTAGTTGTTTCAGTGGTGAGTGGCGGGAATCATTCTGTGATGAGTAGTTAATCTCTAGGGCAGGAGCTTGCAAAGAGGTAGAGAATGGTGGCAGTGGCGGCACTGGTGTGGACTAGTTCAATGCGTGCAGGTCCTGTCTTGCACAAGTGGAAGACTCGGGTGCTGGGTTGAAGCCAGATATAGCACAGTGATAGGGGAGCCCACACGTGTTCGAAGTCGGCAGTGCAGGCAGCCTTTGGGCTGAGGAGGAGCAGCTGCTTCTGGGCATCACCGATGAGTTAGCTTCCAGAGCCCGGTTGCGATACCAGCTCCTGACACCAGATGTCACTGAAATATAAATTGCACGTTCTATAAAGGATATAGGTGACTATTTATTGTGGAAGGTACTTGCAAGAGAAACCTGCAACGCAGGTTGGTCTCAGTGACTTCTGAGACCCAACTGGAACCCTGAAAAGAGACCATGTCTCCCTTCTCCCAAACAAGCATGGTCAGCGTTTCAGGTACATAAGATCTCTCCCTACAATGTCCTTTGCCTTACAGTAGCTTTTCAGTTTCATGAGGTCCTACTTGTTAATTGTCAATCAATGACTGGTGTTCTATTCCAGAAGTTGTCTACTGTACCAATGTGTTGAAGGTAATCCCTCCCTTTCCTTTCTATCAGGTTCAGTGTAACTAGATTCATATTGAAGACTTTAATTCATTTTCCTAAGTTTTGCACATGGTGAAAAAATGTGGATCTCTTTGCATTATGCTACATGTTGATATCCAGGTATGCCAACACTATTTGTTGAAGATGTTTTCTTTTTTCAATTGCACAGTTTTTGCTTGTTTGTCAAAAATCAAGTGTCCATATATGTAAATATTTATGCCTGGGACTTCAATTAAATTTCATTGATCAACATGTCTGTTTTTATGGCAATAACATGCTGTTATAACTACTATAGCTCTGTCATAGAACTTGAGATCAGGAATGGTGATACTTCCAGCCATTTTTTATTGTTTTAGCTATCCTTAGATTTTTGTTTTTCCACATTACGGTGAACATTCTTCTATCAAGATCTGTGAAGATTTATGTTGGAAGTTTAATGATGATTATTTTGAATCTGCAAATTTTTTGTTGAGGTTGTCATTTTAGTATTTTCATCCTACTAATCTATGAACATGGAAGGTATTTTTATATTCTTATATCTTCTCCAATTTTCTTCTTCAAAGACTTCAAGTTATTGTCATACAGGCATTTCACTTGTATTATTAGAGTTCTTCAAGACATTTTATATTGCTTGTAAATTTTGTGAAGGTTGTTTTTTCCCTGATGTCTTTGTCAGCCCTTTTATTGTTTGCATATAAGAGGATTACTGAATTTTTGCATTAATTTTGTATTCAGGCACTTCTCTAAAATGTGTTTGTCAGCTATAAGATTTCTTTGGTGAATTTTTAGGGTTGCTTATGTATACGACCTTATCATTTACAAATAGCAATAGTTTGGCTTATGATTTTCCAATTTGTATCCTGTTGATCATGTTTGTTTGCCTTATTGCCTTAGCTGGAACATTGAGTACTATATTGATATGGACGGAGTGGACAGTCTTGTCTTGTTCTTGATTTTAATGTAATTACTTTGAATTTTCTCAATTTTTTCTTTTTGGTTTTTCGAGACAGGGTTTCTCTGTATTGTTTTGGAGGCTGTCCTGGAAATCACTCTGTAGACCAGGCTGGCCTCGAACTCACAGAGATCCGCCTGCCTCTGCCTCCCGAGTGCTGGGATTAAAGGCGTGCACCACCAACGCCTGGCTTGAATTTTTCTCAATTTAATTTGATATTGGCTGTTGACTTTCTGTTTACTGATTTTATTACAGTTATATTGCTTGTATCCATGATCTTTCCAGGATTTTTGTCATGAAAGAAGAAATAAAGTAACACTTCCAAGAATTCAAGGAAAATGAGTGTAGAAAGTACTCAAACTTTTGGGTCACAGTTAAAGCACTGATAAGAGGAAAGTTCATAGCACTAAGCTCCTTCATAAAGAATTTGGTGAAATTTCACACTAGCAACTTAAGAGCACACTTGAAATCTCTAGAAAAAATAAGTGAATACACAAAGAGGATTAGAAGGCAGGAAATAAATTGAGGGCTGAAATCAATAAGATGGAAACAAAGAGAGCACACAAAGAATCAATGAAACAAACAGTTAGTTTTTCAAAAAATCAACAAGATAGACAATACCTTATCCAAACAACCTGAAAGTCAGAGAAGATATCCAAATCATCAAAATGGGAAAGGAAAGGGGGAAATAACCACAGATACTGAGGGAATTCAGACAATTATTAGGTCATACTTCAAAACTTGTACTCCACAAAATTGGAAAAATCAAAAAGTAAACAAATTTCTTGATTGATACTGCATACCAAAATTAAACCAAAATCAAAATAACCTCTATGGAAATAGAGGCTTTTATTAAAAGTCTCCTAACAAAGAAAAGCTCAGGGCCAGATGATTTCATCATAGAATTCTCCCAGACTTGAGTGCTCCTCAGTTTATTTCTCAAAGTAGAAACAGAAGGAACATTTCCAGATTATTTTTGTGATGCCACTATTATTCTGATACTAAAATCATACAACGACTCAACAATGAATAAGAATTACAAACCATTTTCCTTCATGAATGCTGAATAAAATGCTGGCAACCAGAATCTAACAACACATCAAAAAGACCATTCACCATGATGAAGTGGGTTTCATTCCAGAAATGCAGGGATAGGTCAATGTGTAAAAATCTTTCCATGTAATCCACCATAGAAACAAATTGAAAGAAAAAATGCGCATGACCATCTCATTAGATGCTAAGAAAGCCTTTGAATATTTCAACTCTTATAAAGGGGCAGATTTAATTGTGGCTGTCTTAGAGCTTCAGAACTGTATTTCGTTATCATTGTGGTCACAAACATGGCAGCATGCAGTCACACATGGTGCTTGAGAGGTTGCTGAGAGTTGTACATCTAGATCAACAGGAAGCAGGAATAGAGAGAACCACTATACTTGGCTTTAACTTCTGAAACCCCTACCCCCAGTGACACACTACTTTCAACAAGGCCACACCTACTCCAACAAGGACACACATCCTAGTCCCTCTCAAGTACCATTACTCCATAATGAGTAAGCATTCAAATATATAAACCTATGGGAGTCATTGGTATTGAAACCACCTCAGAATCCATAAACATGTCAGTTCACTAAAAAATAAAAATTCTCTGCCACAGTGATATGTTATTCTATGTATCAGCATATTTTTCAAAAAATGAAGTTAGAAAGCTAAGAGCTGTATCTAATACGAGGAAACAAAAAGTAGAAAAAGAAAGAAAAAAATCTCTACATATGAGAAAAATCAATCATTTTTTGAGAAGTAAATCTATAAATTTTTGTTTTGTTAAAAAATACACATGAGATTCTCTGCTAAATAAAATTTATAATTATTCCACTACTTGAAGGAGGGAAATCCAAGAATGAAACTAGACATAAGAATAACAGGCATGCTTTATACGTAATCTCTGTTTGGCAGGAGATGCTTGACTGAAGTTCTTATCTGAAGCTCTGGCCAGGGTGTAATAAGAAGGTGCACCATTTCAGCTAGCTAGTCTGGAGTTGTCTAGAGCATTATAGTGCCAAACCAGTTTGAGGGTGGTGTTTATTAGCTCAAAGATATCAAGTCAAATCAAGTGGAATTGATGAGGTGGGGACCCATCTTCTTTCTGAAGAGCTCAAAGATTTCTGCTAGGAAAGTTTTGGTTCACTGTGGAGGACTTAAACTTTAATATCAGCATAGAAAGTTTAACTTTAATAGGTAATATACAGGGAAAGGTAACAATAAGGAGGAAATTAAGTATGAGGATAATTATGATTTTAGAGAAAACAGATTTAAGACAATAGTAGTCCTAGATTTTGGTTACACCAATGCCCCTTTGATATGTAACAGAAACTCTTCATTTTATTTTTAACAACATGTGTAAATTTGGAGAAGGAAGGCCAAGCCTATGATTGTACTGGGAAGTAAGAAAATATGAGTTTAGTATAAATATTTTACCACTCATCAGGTTGTTCTTTGTATGATGGTTCTTTCTTGATAGTTTAGTATAAATATTTTACCACTCAACAGGTTGTTCTTTGTATGATGGTTCTTTCTTGATAGTTTAGTATAAATATTTTACCACTCATCAGGTTGTCCTTTGTGTGATGGTTCTTTCTTGATAGTTTAGTATAAATATTTTACCACTCATCAGGTTGTTCTTTGTATGATGGTTCTTTCTTGATAGTTTAGTATAAATATTTTACCACTCATCAGGTTGTTCTTTGTATGATGGTTCTTTCTTGATAGTTTAGTATAAATATTTTACCACTCATCAGGTTGTTCTTTGTGTGATGGTTCTTTCTTGATAGGTTAGTATAAATATTTTACCACTCATCAGGTTGTTCTTTGTATGATGGTTCTTTCTTGATAGTTTAGTATAAATATTTTACCACTCATCAGGTTGTTCTTTGTATGATGGTTCATTCTTGATAGTTTAGTATAAATATTTTACCACTCATCAGGTTGTTCTTTGTATGATGGTTCTTTCTTGATAGTTTAGTATAAATATTTTACCACTCATCAGGTTGTCCTTTGTGTGATGGTTCTTTCTTGATAGTTTAGTATAAATATTTTACCACTCATCAGGTTGTTCTTTGTATGATGGTTCTTTCTTGATAGTTTAGTATAAATATTTTACCACTCATCAGGTTGTTCTTTGTATGATGGTTCTTTCTTGATAGCTATCCTCTCTTCTTTAGGTATCTACAGGTTTGGTGTCTTTTGGCTATTTGAAGATGAGATTTTTTTTCTGTTTTCCTGTAAAGACAAGAACAAAACTCTCCCCCTACCTTTGTGAGGGCTTCATACACTTAGTGGAATATACCATGATGGATGACTTATCATTTCTCCTCATCAAGAGGTTTCTCCTGTTCACAATGTGTCTTGATCAAATTT